CCACAGCACATCTGCTGACCCTATAGAGACCTGTAACTGGGTCATCTTGGAGTTGACACTGGGCACTTGAGGTTCGATGGCTGGTAGAAGGTTGCATGCAGATGGTTGTAATTCAACATGATAATTTAACAAACATTCTGTGGGGCAGCCTGCTGTGCTGGAGAATGCGTCACACTTACTGCATAAAAGGCTCATCATGATCATAGATCAACATCAACTTCAAACACATTAATTTCTAAACGTGAGAGTTAAGAATGTCAAATACAAAATGCACAAAGTAAACAACATTCTATTATCAAATAGAAAAAAGGGTTCCCTATTCAACTTGCATATGTGTGATAGTTTGCATAATTGGTTATCTCTGCTCTTTCACAGTGTGGACACTTGGGTCTTTTTACGAAATCACAATCCATGATGAACAGTAAGGCATTTGTTGGCTGAAACTGAGTTCACATCTCAAGGTGAACCTGTTAGGTATGAGCAGTACTGTAAGGGTGTGTAGTCTGATAAGACAGGCACTCAGGAAGACCTACTAGATAACAGACAGGGACGGAGCAGGAGTGAGTTCCGGTTCAGGAAGAGGGATGCACCACAAAAAATATTTGGATAAAAAGAGCACAAGGCGATTGGAACTACACAATGGTGTGTCTATGACAGTATACACTGAAAACATTAGGAACACCTTCCTACTATTGAGTTGCACCCCCTTTTTCCCTTAGAACATCCTTAATTCATCAGGGCATGGACTCTACAAGATGTCGAAAGCGTTCCACAGGGATGCTGGCCCATGTTGAGTCCAATGCTTCCCACAGTTGTGTCAAATTGGCTGGATGGCACCTACTGCCATATCACTATCAAAGGCACTTAAATATTTTGTCTTGCCCATTCACCCTCTGAATGCCACACATACACAATCCGTGTCTCAATTGTCTCAAGGCTTCTTTAACCTGTCTCCTCCCCTTCATCTACACTGATTGAAGTGGATTTAACAGGTGCCATCAATAAGGGATCATAGCTTTCACCTGGATTCACCTGGTCATATCATGAAAAGAGCAGTTGTTCATAATGTTTTGTACACTCAGTGTATACAGAAGCTAAGAATTAATATTTGGTGCATAAATGAATTGTTACTACTGTACTTCATGATCAACCAATATATGAACTGATAGTCACTATAACAATCTATATACTGTACATCTTTCCACAACAAAATACAAATGTTGAAATATTAAACAAAACTGTATAAACATGTCAGTTCAGTGACATCATTGTCTTATGTATGAAGTAGGAAATAGCTTTACAAGCTACAACTTTGTTCAAGCGCTCTTAGCAGATACAGTTGAAGTCGGAAGTTTACATACACCTTAGCCAAATACATTTAAACTCAGTTTTTCACAGTTTCTGACATTTAATCCTAGTAAAAATTCCCTGTCTTAGGTCAGTTAGGATCACCACTTTATTTTAAGAATGTAAAATATCAGATTAATTTTAGAGAGAATGACTTATTTCAGCTTTTATTTCTTTCATCACATTCCCAGTGGGTCAGAAGTTTACATACACTCAATTAGTATTTGGTAGCATTGCCTTTAAATTGTTTAACTTGGGTCAAACGTTTCGGGTAGCCTTCCACAAGTTTCCCACAATAGGTTGGGTGAATTTTGGCCCATTCCTCCTGACAGAGCTGGTGTAACTGAGTCAGGTTTGTAGGCCTCCTTGCTCACACACGCTTTTTCAGTTCTGCCCACACATTTTCTATAGGATTGAGGTCAGGGCTTTGTGATGGCCACTCCAATACCTTGACTTTGTTGTCCTTAAGCCATTTTGCCACAACTTTGGAAGTATGCTTGGGGACCCTTTTGCGACCAAGCTTTAACTTCCTGACTGATGTCTTGAGATGTTGCTTCAATATATCCACATAATTTTCATTCCTCATGATGCCATCTATTTTGTGAAGTGCACCAGTCCCTCCTGAAGCAAAGCACCCCCACAGCATGATGCTGCCACCCCTGTGCTTCACGGTTGGAATGGTGTTCTTCGTCTTGCAAGCTGCCCCCTTTTTCCTCCAAACATAACAATGGTCATTATGGCCAAACAGTTCATTTTTGTTTCATCAGACCAGAGGACATTTCTCCAAAAAGTACGATCTTTGTCCCCATGTGCAGTTGCAAACCATAGTCTGGCTTTTTTATGGCGGTTTTGGAGCAGTGGCTTCTTCCTTGCTGAGCGGCCTTTCAGGTTATGTCGATGTAGGACTCATTTTACTGTGGATATAGATACTTTTGTACCTGTTTCCTCCAGCATCTTCACAAGGTCCTTTGCTGTTGTTCTGTGATTGATTTGCACTTTTCGCACCAAAGTACGTTCATCTCTAGGAGACAGAACGCGTCTCCTTCCTGAGCGGTATGTCACGATCGTCATAATGATTGGACCAAGGCGCAGCGTGATATGCGTACATCTTTTTAATAGTGTACTGGCAACACGATACAAAATACAAAACAACCAAACGAAACGTGAAGTCCTCGGTTAACAACACAAACCAACACGGAACAAGATCCCACAAAACACAAGTGCACAACAGGCTGCCTAAGTATGGTTCCCAATCAGAGACAACAAGCAACAGCTGATTCTCATTGCCTCTGATTGAGAACCACCCCGGCCAACCTAGAAAACACATGAACTAGAAACTGAACATAGAACACAAAACATAGACCCTACACACCCTGGCTCAACATATAAGAGTCCCCAGAGCCAGGGCGTGACAGTACCCCCCCCCAAAGGCGCGGACTGCGACCGCGCCAACATAAACCCAACAGGGGAGGGGCCGGGTGGGCATTCCGCCTCGGAGGCGGATCCGGCTCCGGGCGTGACCACCACCCTCTAACAACCCCCCCGTAGCGCCCCTGGTCTGGTCTAGCCCCGCTGGCTGGAGCTGGACTGGACATTGGTGGAGCGGATTGCATTGGCTTGGTGCGGGGAGCAGGGACGGGCTGGACCGGGCTGACGAAGCGCACCACTGGCTTGGTGCGGGGAGCAGGGACGGGCCGGACCGGGCTGACGAAGCGCACCACTGGCTTGGTGCGGGGAGCAGGAACAGGCCGGACCGGGCTGACGACGCGCACCATTGGCTTGGTGCGAGGGGCAAGAACAGGCCGGGCCGGGCTGGCGACGCGCACCATTGGCTTGGTGCGAGGGGCAGGAACAGGCCGGGCCGGGCTGGCGACGCGCACCATTGGCTTGGTGTGAGGGGCAGGAACAGGCCGGGCCGGGCTGGCGACGCGCACCATTGGCTTGGTGCGAGGGGCAGGAACAGGCCGGGCCGGGCTGGCGACGCGCACCATTGGCTTGGTGCGAGGAGCAGGAACAGGCCGGGCCGGGCTGGCTACGTGCACCACAGGCTTGGTGCGAGGGGCAGGAACAGGCCGGGCCGGGTTGGCGACGCGCACCACAGGCTTGGTGCGAGGGGCAGGAACAGGCCGGGCCGGGCTAGCGACGCGCAGCACAGTCTTGGTGCGAGGGGCAGGAACAGGCCGGGCCGGGCTAGCGACGCGCACCACAGGCTTGGTGCGAGGGGCAGGAACAGGCCGGGCTGGGCTGGCGACGCGCACCAATGGCTTGGTGCGAGGGGCAGGAACAGGCCGGGCCGGGCTGGCGACGCGCACCATTGGCTTGGTGCGAGGGGCAGGAACAGGCCGGGCCGGGCTGGCGACGCGCACCATTGGCTTGGTGCGAGGGGCAGGAACAGGCCGGGCCGGGCTAGCGACGCGCACCACAGGCTTGGTGCGAGGGGCAGGAACAGGCCGGGCCGGGCTGGCGACCCGCATCACAGGCTTGGTGCGAGGGACAGGAACAGGCCGGACCGTACTGGGAACACACACCACTGGCCTTGTGTGGGGATCAGGAACGGGCCGGACCGGACTGGTAACACACCTCAGTACCTCTCGCCGTGCCTCTACACTCTCCTTCCCTCTACTGACCAATGGCCCCCGTAACCTGGTGGCCTTCTCTCCTCGTCCACAAACTCGCCCTGTATCTGCCTCCAGCAGCCCCGTCGTCCATGCCGTGTGCCCCCCCCAAAAAATGTATTGGGGTTGCCTCTCGCCTGTCCGACGACGACACTGTTGGCGCCGTACCTCCTCTCTCGCCAGGGCTTTAACTTTAGCCCATGGCCCTTTGCCCGCGAACATATCCTCCCAGGACCACCATTGGCCCACCTGGGCCATCGCCAACCTCTCCAGCTCCTTATCCGGCGTTTGCTCCTGGAAACGCTGCTTGGTCCCGTTTTGGTGGGATCTTCTGTCACGATCGTCATAATGATTGGACCAAGGCGCAGCGTGATATGCGTACATCTTTTTAATAGTGTACTGGCAACACGATACAAAATACAAAACAACCAAACGAAACGTGAAGTCCTCGGTTAACAACACAAACCAACACGGAACAAGATCCCACAAAACACAAGTGCACAACAGGCTGCCTAAGTATGGTTCCCAATCAGAGACAACAAGCAACAGCTGATTCTCGTTGCCTCTGATTGAGAACCACCCCGGCCAACCTAGAAAACACATGAACTAGAAACTGAATATAGAACACAAAACATAGACCCTACACACCCTGGCTCAACATATAAGAGTCCCCAGAGCCAGGGCGTGACACGGTATGACGGCTGCGTGGTCCCATGGTGTTTATACTTGCGTACTATTGTTTGTACAGATTAACGTGGTACCTTCAGGTGTTTGGAAATTGCTCCCAAGGATGAACCAGACTTGTGGAGGTCTACCATTTTTTTTTCTGACGTCTTGGCTGATTTATTTAGATTTTCCCATGATGTCAAGCAAAGAGGCACTGAGTTTGAAGGTAGGCCTTGAAATACATCCACAGGTACACCTCCAATTGACTCAGTTGAGTTCCTTGGGCGAATGGTCTTTCCCCTTAGAAGTCATCCAGAAGACAGTACCACAGGTCTCAAAGTATGACTGGTGCCTTGTCCCACTCAAAGTTCTTCAGTTTATGATGTCTGTGTTCCTTGTTGGACATTCCTCATAGAGGTCTGCCTTCATGTCCCCTTCCTCTGAGTCCTCACTATAAGAGACAAGGGGATATCCTTGGATTACTATTAACATTACATGAACATAACACCGGTTCAGCACCTTAATTAAGCAATAAGGCACGAGGGGGTGTGGTATATTGGCCATATACCACAAACCCCTAAGTTGCCTTATTGCTATTATAAACTGGTTACCAATGTAATTAGAGCAGTAAAAAAAAAAAAGTTTTGTCAGCCAATCAGCATTCAGGGCTCGAACCACCCAGTTTATAATAACAGTGACAGTACAATAGTAAAGGTTGAAATGGCTATTAACCCAAGCTTAGACGTTCACCCCTGGTTTCAAGGCTGTCTCTCCAGAGTTTAATATTGACAAATAAATACGAAGGAATTTAAAGTGTTAAATACTATGTAATAGAATATTCCCTCTCTCTTCCCCTTCAGTGGACAAAAGAGGGTAAAGACCTGAAGCTGGATCCCTCCACATCCTCGATGGTGTCAGCCAGGTGCTGGTGGGCTGTCTCAGGCAGCAGCAGGGTGAGGGCTGCCCCTAGCAGAGTACACAGGCCAAACAGAACCATGGGAGCATTCTTACTGACACCCCTCAACAGGTAGATGATTGGGGCCAGGACTCCCCCTGCCCGGGCACACATGGAGCTCATACCAATCCCACTCTGCCTGAGGGGTCACAGTGGAGACATATTCAGCCAAACTAACTTCACAACATCATATTTAAAGTACTGTAATAAAGACTGTGAATCAAGATTCGTCTCGCCACATCCCAAAACCATTACAGTACTTGCTGTAGTTGTATGTGTCAAGGCAAACGTATAACTTTGCATATCGAACACAGAATACAATGAAAGAGGATTGTTAATACATTCAAAACACTCTTGTGACTTCATTCAGCAGTTGTCTCAACCCTTATCAGAATTTTGCGCTGACCCTAACATAAACCTACTGAGCCAAAGTTGGCTATTGCCATGGGGGAAGAAGTTATGTTACACACTGAAGGCTAAGCCTGACCCAACAGACACTAAACATCATAATGTTATCAATAGTTTTAGCTGACTCAAGTGATACAAGTTATCTTGCTTAAGAAATACCTCAGCCCCCTCTCCACAACAAAAGTAAGGTCACAGAGATATTGACTGAGTAGTGGAGAGGATTATTTAAACAACTCCAAAGATGGTTAGACTCATGTTTTGACCTCATGATCTACACCTGAATGACTCTGCTGGAAACACGCCCAGACATCAGCAGTCCACATTAGTCAGCAGAACACTACTTTTGACCAGAGCCCTATTGACCAGACACTCACCTTATGACAGTAGGGAAAACCTCTGCTGAGTAGACGTAGACTATGGACAGGGAGGCGGTGATCCCAAACTTTCCCACCATGGCCAGGACTGTTCTAATAATGGAGAGATCTGTGTGAGAGAGAGAGAGTTCAGACAGAGAGAGAGCGAGATCAGACAGAGAGAGAGACAGAGAGAGAGCAAGAGAGAGAGAAAGAGAGAGAGAAAGAGAGAGAGAGAGAGAGAGAGAAGTGATGGGGTCAGAGGTTAAAGAGGTAAAGAGCTGGGCTGTGCATGTATAACAGCTGCAACTCAAGTCTACATCCCTGCGGATCAATCTACAGCATTCCAACTGGAGACGGTAACCACCTAAGGTAGTGGCTTCGTGTGAGACTGACACGACTTCCCTGAGGAGTACGGCGGGAGTTATTAACTCTTACTCTACATCCAGGAGGTGACGTCGGTGACAAACTCTGGTTATTACAAAAGGAACTAGTTATATAAAAATAAATAATGTGGCTTGAATATCTTTTTCAGTTTCAACCAAAAGCCAAGTTCCAAGCCACAAATACTTTCCATTGACTACTAGCTAAGTCCTTATAAACAGAGCTATAAAACAACACAACTATGGCATCATCTTTTCAGGGCCAGGGGGATACTATAACTCATCAAGTACCTCAGGATGTTTATAAACAATACTTTAAAGGCACATTAAAGGCAGTAGAGTTTTCTCTGGAATGCTCCATACCATCGGGAATGAAGACAGTGAGCAGGCAGGCTAGGCCTCCCACGGCGAGGAAGGCTAGCTGGGATATCCTCCTGGAGCGGTTGAGGGTGAAGAGGGTGATGGTGCGAGCAGGCATCTCCACCAGGCCAAAGATCAGCTGGGTCAGGTAGATGTTCATCCCAAAGTCAGAGATGTTTAGGGACAGGCCGTAGTAGACCAGCACGTTGACGAACCTGGACATACACAGACATGGAATGGTAGGGGAAACACTGATGAGGCAAAGAAGGGGTTAATAACACTACTGTCACAGCAGTGAAACAAGGACTTCCTCTGGTTTGCCACAAGTCTACGATGCAAAATAGATAGCTACAGTACACAGGGTGAGACAGATGAGACAGAGGTTTTAATGTTACAATGAACAGGAAATTAGAAAAAGGTGTCTAGGAAGCAGCAATGTCTCTCTGGCCACAGACAGGGTAAACAAACCCTGGCATAATCAAGGAAGTAAATCAAGTAAAATGACAAAAAAGGCCTCTTCTAACTTGGACTGGATAGGGAATTTAATACAACATTTCACAATAGTGAAATAGTTATATCTATTGAGAATGTTTTTCTATATTAACAATCACTTCTCATGGCCTGGTAAGCTACGTAAAGTATTCACATTCAAATAATAATCCTCCAGTGTCACCTCAGTGAGTGATACATTGCAATTGGAATGGCTTACACAACAAGCACAGTGACCTAAGGAGCCTGTGCAGTGAATAGTTCTGCAAACTCCATTGGCATACCATATCAAGTGATCAACCCATTATGGAAAGAGTAGATGAAGATTAGAGTATGTGTGACTTAGATATACACTACCGTTCAAAAGTTTGGGGTCACTTAGAAATGTCCTTGTATTCGAAAGAAAAGCACATTTTTTGTCCATTAAAATAACATCAAATTGATCAGAAATACAGAGTAGACATTGTTAATGTCACGCCCTGGCTCTAGGGACTCTTTTAAGTTGAGCCAGGGTGTGTAGAGTTTATGTTTTGTGCTCATTGTGTCTAGTTTAGTTGTTGTATATCTATGTTGGCCAGAGTGGTTCTCAATCAGAGGCAACGAGTATCAGCTGTTGCTGGTTGTCTCTGATTGGGAACCATATTTAGACAGGCTGTTTTCCCACAGTGTTTGTGGGATCTTGTTCCGTGTTGGTTTGTGTGTTGCACCTGTGGACGTCACGTATCGATTTGTTCGTGTATCATTTAATAAATAAATAAGTATGTTCACCTTCCACGCTGCGCCTTGGTCCTCTATATCCGACGATCGTGACAGTTAATGTTGTAAATGGCGATTGTAGCTGGAAACGGCTGATTTTTTATGGAATATCTACATAGGCGTACAGAGGCCCATTATCAGCAACCATCAGTCCTGTGTTCCAATGTGATGTTATGTTTGCTAATCCAAGTTTATCATTTTAAAAGGCTAATTAATCATTAGAAAACCCTTTTGCAATTATGTTAGCGCAGCTGAAAACTGTTGTGCTGATTAAAGAAGCAATAAAACTGGCTTTCTTGAGACTAGTTGAGTATCTGGAGCATCAGCAATTGTGGGTTCGATTACAGGCTCAAAATGGCCAGAAACAAATAACTTTCTTCTGAAACTCGTCAGTCTATTCTTGTTCTGAGAAATGAAGGCTATTCCATGCGAGAAATTGCCAAGAAACTCAAGATCTCGTACAACGCTGTGTACTACTCCCTTCACAGAACAGCGCAAACTGGCTCTAACCAGAATAGAAAGAGGAGTAGGAGGCCCCAGTGCACAACTGAGCAAGAGGACAAATACATTAGAGTGTCTAGTTTGAGAAACAGGCGCCTCACAGGTCCTCAACTGGCAGCTTCATTAAATAGTACCCGCAAAACACCAGTCTCAACGTCAACAGTGAAGAGGCGATTCCGGAATGCTGACCTTCTAGGCAGAGTTGCAAAGAAAAAGCCATATCTCAGACTGCCCATCTTAATCTTTTCTTTTTATTGGCCAGTCTGAGATATGTCTTTGTCACGCCCTGGCTCTGGGGACTCTTAAATGTTGAGCCAGGGTGTGGAATTGTTATGTTTAGTTGTCTATGGGTGTTCTAGATTGTGTATATCTATGTTGGCCAGGGTGGTTCCCAATCAGAGACAGCTGTGGCTCGTTGTCGCTGATTGGGGACCATACTTAGGCAGCCTGTTTTGCACAGTTGATTGTGGGATCTTGTTCTGGAAGGTTTGTTTTGGTGTTATTTAACCTAGGACTTCACGTATCGTTTGTTTTGTTGTTTTTGTTCGTGTGGTGTACTTAAATAAAAGAATGTACGCATATCACGCTGCGCCTTGGTCCGCTTCTTATAACGACCGTGACAGAAGATCCCACCAAAATAGGACCAAGCAGCGTGTGCAGGAGCAAACGCCAGGTATGGAATAGGAGGTTACTCTGGTAGATGTCCTCCTCGGTTGGGGGAGAATCACAGAGGAGGAGGCTGTCCGCTACCGGAGGGCGATGAGGGAGGATGCCCAGGCAGGAGAGGAGAAGCGGCGCCAACCGGGTCGTCGTCGGATAGGCGAGAGGCAACCCCAATAATTTTTTTTGGGGGGGGCACACGGCATGGACGACGGGGATGCTGGAGGCAGCTACAGGACGTATCGGCGGATTAGGAGAGGAGGCCACCAGGTTTGGGGGGCTGGAAGGGAGGTTGGCGGAGCCTAGAGGTAGAGCAGAGCCAACTCCCCGTACTCAGGCTAGGCAGCGTGAGACTGGGCAGGTTCCGAGTTATGCGGAGCTGCGTACTGTGCCGCGAGTGGTCCGGCACAGTCCTGTACGTCCTGTGCTAGCACCACGCACATGTCGTGCTAAGGTGGGCATGCAGTCAGGACGGAGTGTGCCGGCTCAACGCTCGTGGCCTCCAGTACCCCTCCTCGGTCCCGGATATCCTGCGCCAGTGCCACGTGCTGTAGTGCCAGTACGAGTGCACAGCCCTGTACGTCCTATGCTGATGCCTCACACAGAGTGTGTAGAAATAGGCATTCAGCCAGGACGGGTTGTGTCAGCTCTTCGCTCCAGACCTCCAGTCCGTCTCCACAGTCCAGTCCGGCCTGTTCCTGCTCCCCGCACCAAGCCAGTGGTGCGCGTCGTCAGCCCGGTCCGGCCCATTCCTGCTCCCCGCACCAAGCCAGTGGTGCGTGTCGCCAGCCCGGTCCGGCCTGTTCCTGCTTCCCGCACCAAGCCTGTGGTGCGCGTCACCAGCCCGGTCCGGCCCGTTCCTGCTCCCCGCACCAAGCCAGTGGTGCGCGTCGACAGCCCGGTCCGGCCTGTTCCTGCTCCCCGCACCAAGCCAATGGTGCGCATCGCCAGCCCGGTCCGGCCCGTTCCTGCTCCCCGCACCAAGCCAGTGGTGCGCGTCGCCAGCCCGGTCCGGCCTGTTCCTGCTCCCCGCACCAAGCCTGTGGTGCGCGTCGTCAGCCCGGTCAGGCCCGTTCCTGCTCCCCGCACCAAGCCAGTGGTGTGCGTCGTCAGCCCGGTCCGGCCTGTTTCTGCTCCCCACACCAAGCTAGGGGTGCGCGTCGTCAGCCCGGTCCAGCCTGTTCCTGCTCCCCGCACCAAGCCTGTGGTGCGCGTCGTCAGCCCGGTCAGGCCCGTTCCTGCTCCCCGCACCAAGCCAGTGGTGCGCGTCGTCAGCCCGGTCCGGCCCGTTCCTGCTCCCCGCACCAAGCCAGTGGTGCGCGTCGTCAGCCTGGTCCGGCCTGTGCCTGCTCCCCGCACCAAGCCAGTGGTGCGCGTCGTCAGCCCGGTCCGGCCCGTTCCTGCTCCCCGCACCAAGCCAGTGGTGCGTGTCGCCAGCCCGGTCCGGCCTGTTCCTGCTCCCCGCACCAAGCCAGTGGTGCGCGTCGTCAGTCCGGCACAGCCCGTGCCTGTTCCACCGGTGCCTGACCGGTCAGCTGCTCCACACCGGAGCCTGAGCAATCCGCTCCACCGGTGTCCAGTCCAGCTCCGGCCAGCGGGGCCAGACCAGACCAGGGGCGCTACGGGGGGGTAGCGAGAGAGTGGTGGTCACGCCCGGAGCCGGATCCGCCTCCGAGGCGGAATGCCCACCCGGCCCCTCCCCTGTTGTGTTTGGTTGGCGCGGTCGCAGCCTTTGGGGGGGGTACTGTCACGCCCTGGCTCTGGGGACTCTTAAATGTTGAGCCAGGGTGTGGACTTGTTATGTTTAGTTGTCTATGGGTGTTCTAGATTGTGTATATCTATGTTGGCCAGGGTGGTTCCCAATCAGAGACAGCTGTGGCTCGTTGTCTCTGATTGGGAACCATACTTAGGCAGCCTGTTTTGCACAGTTGATTGTGGGATCTTGTTCCGGAAGGTTTGTTTTGGTGTTATTTAACCTAGAACTTCACGTATCGTTTGTTTTGTTGTTTTTGTTCGTGTGGTGTACTTAAATAAAAGAATGTACGCATATCACGCTGCGCCTTGGTCCGCTTCTTATAACGACCGTGACAGTCTTTCTCTTTGCAAACACAACATTCCATTGGAACACAGGACTGATGGTTGCTGATAATGGGCCTCTGTACGCCTATGTAGATATTCCATTAAAAATCAGCCGTTTCAAGCTACAATAGCCATTTACAACATTAACAATGTCTACTCTGTATTTCTGATCTATTTGATGTTTTTTTAATGGACAAAAAAATTGCTTTTCTTTCAAAGACAAGGACATTTCTAAGTGACCCCAAACTTTTGAATGGTAGTGTAAATGTTTGGCAGAACTAAGAACTTTTGGCAGAAACCTAAATGAAACATTAGTTGATACAGTAGAAATGTGATACATGCTTGTTTGCCCCCAGGAGGCATGTGTCCTGACAAAGTTCTACTGTATATTTCTCCCTCAATGACAGATTGTATTTGAGGCTTAATCGCTGCCAACTTCACAAGCAATTAGTGAACTGTGAAAAGAATGTCAGGACAGTCACCACAGGTAAAACATGATCAATGAGTTCCTCCTCATTTTTGGAGTTCGGACCAGGTCAACGACTGTGTATTTTGTGCTCTCCTCTATCTTCACCATGTCTTTGTACCCCTGGAAAATAACAAGAGCAGATTAGCCTTTTCATAGAGCATTTCACAGTGATGGTTATCAGTAAAGGAATGAGCTCATAAAAGCGATAAGCACACCAATGCAATGTATATCATTTGCATGCCCCGCCGCATGCCTTACAGAATAGAGGGATAACATGCAAAGCATTTTAATATGCTCAGGCTTTAGCGCTATTGCTCTCAACATTGCTTGTATATAGAAGTGTTGTTTTGCAAGTGCTTTTATCAAGGCTGTTGGAACTTGTCTCTATAGCAATTAGCCTGTGGACAAGACAGCTTAACTAACAAACCACACCTGACATATCTCTATGTCCTCCCGCAGGGGTTTGCCGTTCATCAGAGCTGCTTTCCTGATCAGATCCACAGCCTCCTCGTTCCTCTGGTTGGCCATCAGCCACCGAGCCGACTTTGGTAGGACCCTAAGAATGTAGAGGAGAGCCACACACATAATCAACTACATATGACAACGGGCATTAGTTTGACACCATGGGAACAAGAGATAAACATGAAGTTACATTTACATTTAGTCATGAGGTAGGAAGTAGGCCAATACTTGTACTACAATATCAGGGAAAAAATGCAATTATTTGGTACTATGCACACAATTTTGCAATTTAGATATACTTAGATATTCCCAAATGGCATTTAATGACCCATCTGGTTTGGATTATTGAAGACAAAAGGGTTCCTCTTCATTCTCTTGAAATTCTCCTTTAGTGAGTTGGCGTGCTAGCCTGGAATCTAAACTGAATGATCCTTTCAGTTCACTGAAGATAATGAAAGTGAGTGATATTGAGTTTGTAGTCCAGGCTATAGGCATACTGCAGATGGCCAGTGACTCACCAAATGTAGAAGATGAAGAGGAAGCCTGGTGCTGAGATGGCCAGCTGGAGCTTACGCCAGTCTCTGATGAGGTAGGCCAGGCCTGCCAGGATGATGTAGCCGAACCCAAAGAAGTAGTCGGTGATGATCCCAGCTAGCATGCGGTGCTTTGATCCTGTCCACTCTGTGCCTGGGGGCCACAAACAAAACAGTATAGAGAGTATAAAACCAGCACCATATCATCTTAATTTTGCTAAGATCACAAGTCAGTAACTTTATGAATATTTAATGTGTGTGTGTATGTGTGTGTGAGTGTGTGTGGTGTGTATGAGAGAGAGAGAGAGAGAGAGAGAGAGAGAGAGAGAGAGAGAGAGAGAGAGAGAGAGAGAGAGAGAGAGAGAGAGAGAGAGAGAGAGAGAGAGAGAGAGAGAGAGAGAGACTGACCTAAAACAAATGCGTTCATGATGACAGCAGAAATAGTGGTTCCAACAACAAAGCGCAGGAAAACATACATGTAGAAATTTGGGGCGAACGCAGCTCCGACCCCACAGGTTGACTGGATAGTCAAACCAACCAGGATTATGTTCCTGCGTCCATACCTGAAACAAGAAAGAGAGATTATACCTTTTTAAATGAGTAGAAACTGTTTCACTTGAGGTGTCCTCACTCACGGTACTGTACGGGTGTGTTGAGAATGAATTGGACTGATAGGGAGTGGGACATGTGCTGCAAATTAGATGCACTCTTAAATATCCCGTGTTAAAATGCTTCAAATGCTTTTGACTGGGCTGGCCTACAAGAGCGCTGAATAAGACTGCTACAACTGAAAATAGTCTGTGCAGACATTTCTCTGTGTACTTTCTATAAATAATCCTAGTTACACAAAGAAAATGTACTAGCAATACAAGCTGCAACATTTTTGTTTTACTTCACCTAAATTGGGACTGAGTTTGTGCAAACACTTTCTCCCTCTTTATTTGTTTTAATTTACCCTGCATTAAGTTTGTGACCTACCCACAATACATGCTTCATAGATCATCAGGCTCTTCAATGTATCTGAGCCAAGCTAATTATAAATTAGATAAAAAATATGTAAGTATCAATGGTGGAAAATGCACTGTTGATTTATACTTACTTATCAGCTAAGAAACCAAACAGCACAGCGCCAACCAGAAGACCAAACATGTAGATTGAGGAACCAATGTTGTTTAGATTGGTGTTGTCACACACCAGATCCCACTGTCAAGGACAGAGGGTTCAAATTAGTTACAAAGCTACGTCATATTGGCAAGCACCTGTATTTTCACCTATTGTCCACATAATTTATAAACCATGTACTGGGTATAAGATTCCACACCTTAAATGTTATTATATCCCTGCTACCAGTGTTCTGTTATTGATTGACTATACCTACTCTATTACACTGTGAAGGCTCACAATTGCACAGCCCTGTAACCGTATTTTGACTGTGGTGTCCAAATCTTTTGCCCCTGAGCTATAGAAGCACCTTGCTTCTCAACAGATTCCATCAAACTGTCCATCATGGCTCTCACATCAATAACAGATGAGTCGTTCCATGTCATTTCAGCAAGCCATGACACCCACCATCTCAGATCGTTCTGAAATCTGTATTTACAGAAGCCCCGCCCCGTTCAGAGAAGTTAGCCATTGAAGTCACATTATTTACCATACATTTGTGTGAAAGTACCAGGTTTAGCCCACTAGATGCCACTGTTCCTGCTACTGACACACCCTTTTATCAACTTCCTGGTCTCTTTTTTTGTGTTTATTTACATTTACCAGACGCTCTTATCCAGAGCAACTTACAGGAGAAATCAGGGTTAAGTGCCTTGCTCAAGGGCACATCAACAGATTTTTCACCTAGTCGGCTCGGGGATTAGAACCAGCGACCTTTCGGTTACTGGCACAACGCTCTTAACCACTAAGCTACCTGCCGCCCCAGATCACAACCCTTTCTTTGCAACTTTGGGTCTGAAACCAATAGCTTTTGCTAATGATGAAAATAAATTAATCCTCACAAGTCAAGACAGTCCTTCATGAAAGCCATTCAGTTTGTCCTTCTCATAACAACCCTTATGCTTCCACCCAACTCTCATTGAATAGTCCAACAAATAGCAGCTCTCTGAGACAGCTATCCCTATGGTGCAATTCTCATATGAAGACTATTTCCTGCAAGCCCAAAACTTTGATGGAGAAATGGGCTAGTGACTCAAATGTTGCGACAACCCTAATCAAATAATATAATTATAAGCCATTGCATTGCAGTCCTATATTTTTCAATACAATTATTTTATCTATATGTATGTGTAGTGTGATTGGTGACATTTACCATTAAACCCAACCCTTGGAATTTGTGGGAACATACGTTTATTGGTTTCCCATTGGCTCTAGGAACGAATCCAAGTTTCCTGAGCTGTAAAACAGAATGTTTTTTAAACGAGAAATGTTGCCTGTTCTGGGAAGGTACATTTTTAGTTGCAGGGAGGTTCTGAGAATGTTTTACGATGGTTCCCTGAAAGTTTTCCTGGGATGTTTTATTAATGTTCTGAGAACAGAAATTATAGGTTATTTTAAGGTTCCTTAAAACTTTCACTGAATGTCTCAATAAGACTTTTAATAAAACTGATAGCTTAGGTTAACTGTTATGAACTCCAAGCATAGTTAGGACACATATACATTAATTAATCATGCAAACACATTTATTGTTGCACAGCATCAGTGAGATTCAAACCTACGATCTTATGTTCTCTACCCATGGAATTAGTCCACTGCGCCACCAGTATGGAGCTAACATGCCATGTTTTTGTTAACTCATACAAAGCTGTTAATTTTAGTCTATTCAAACAGACCCCATTTCAAAGGAAACAAGCACTCATTAAGATCAGGTGTGGCCAAGTAGTGGCCGCGGCCAACACACTTAACAAGATAGAGGATAGTTCCTTAAAACCTCTTAAGGATCGGACCCTTTTTTTCAATTTTCACCTAAAATGACATACCCAAATGTAACTGCTTGTAGCTCAGGACCTGAAGCAAGGATATGCATATTCTTGATATAATTTGAAAGGAAACACTTTGAATTTTGTGGAAATGTGAAATTAATGTAGGAGAATATAACACATTAGATCTGGTAAAGGATAATACAAACAAAAAAACATGCGTTTTCTTGTTGTTGTTTTTTGCATCATCTTTGAAATGCAAGAGAAAGGCCAGACAGGGATGTCGGATTCTAGATGTAATTTAGATGTTGTCCACCAGATGGCAGCAGTGTGTGTGCAAAGTTTCAGAATGATCCATTGAAGAATTACATCACTACACAATATTTTGTATCAAGCCTGCCAGGAGTTTTCCCAAATGTGCTGAATTGGTTTTCAAGTACATAACTATAGAGAACATACACAAATGCCATTGGTAATACAAAATTTAAGTTTGCACACTCCCAGGAATGTCATAAATTATGGTTCATTAGCTTCCCTACAGAAAAGACACTAACCCACACATCTAGATGGCCGGGCGGGGTGGGTGTGGAGTCAGAGGTCAAACTGTAAAACCCAGTTCCTTTGAATATACATTTCTTTTTTCAAACAAAACTACAGAAAATTTTATCTCTGGGACCCTCAGGATAACAAATCAGAGCAAGATTACTGAATGTAAGTACATTATTTACCTTCAGAGGTGAATGTACCAAACCAGTTGCCGTGATAAAAGTGTTTTGTTGTGTGCACTATCCTCAAACAATAGCATGGTATTTTTTAGCTGTAATAGCTACTGTAAATTGGACACTGCAGTTAGATATCGGACACTCTAGTCACATATCGCATATTGAGCAACAACCGTCCTGTATAAAGACACCGATCCCGTAGAGGTTAATATGTGCTGAGAATGTTCCAAAGCCAAGCAACTATCCTGCACCATTCCCAGAATGTTGTAGGAAGGTTATATGCAAAATAACCATAGGACAACCACACTCTCACCAAGCTCTAACAAAACATATGGTTCTCAGAAAGTTATGTGCTAGCTGGGTGTGTGTTTGGGACTATAACCAGACCATTAGAGACCATAACATTAAAACCATTAGAACTGCTGTAGTACAATGGTTTGCTTGTTCACCAGGAATGGTCTAACTAATTCAGAACTTTTGTAAAGGGAATAAACCACACACAGAGCGGCCATTTCTTGGACACAGATTAAGCCTAAGACCAGGACAAACTAAATTGCTTTCATGGAGGTCTTGAATTGTGAGGATGACCACACATTTTATTTTCATCAAGAGCAAAAGCTATTGGTTTTCTACCCAAAGTTGCAAAGAAAATGTTGTAATCCATTTAAACACAAGAGACCAGCTAAATGGATTAAATGGTGTGGCAGTAGCAGGGACAGTGGCATCTAGTGGGCAAAACCTGGTACTTTCACACTTTCACACTAATTTATAATGTAAACGACTTCAATTGCTAATTTCCCTGAACAGGTAAAAAAAAACATCACCAGATTCACAGGGAATACATTACATAGGATGAAGAATCAATAATCCAAGCTGCAGCTCCATACTACAATCTGAGAATCTCATAGAACCTCATAGAATGGCGCAGTGGTCTAAGGCACTGCATCGCAGTGCTAGCTGTGCCACTAGAGATCCTGGTTTGAATCCAGGCTCTGTCGTAGCCGGCCGCGACCGGAAGACCCATGGGGTGGCGCACAATTGGTCCAGGGTAGGGGAGGGAATGGCCGGCAGGGATGTAGCTCAGTTGGTAGAGCATGGTGTTTGCAACGCCAGGGTTGTGGGTTTGATTCCAACGGGGGGGTCAGTATGAAAAAAAGAATTTAAAAAAGAATAATGTATGCACTAACTGTAAGTTGCTCTGGATAAGAGCGTCTGCTAAATGACTAAAATGTAAATAGAATCTCAATTCCATACAACAATCTGAGATGGTGGGTGTCGAAAATCCTTTATTGTGCTTTTTGAGGTGGAACCACGCCCCATGGAATGTGACAGAGCGGGTCGTGAGTTGTCATACATCATACAGACAGCCTCCAACAGTTGGCCTCCCAGTGGAGGTCTAATCAAATCAAAGTTTATTGGTTGCGTACACAGTTCTGCAGACGTTATCGCAGGTGCAGTGAAATGCTTATATTTCTCGCCCCAAAAATGCAGCAATACACACATAATTTATTATGTTTTTGGTTTATGACATCAGAACGGGCAATCCTAGGTCAGTGTTTGTAAATCAACAACGTTCAACAGGTTCTGCTGGCTGGGACCATTCCACTATTTGTATTGTACCTTTATTTAACTAGGCAAGTCAGTTAAGAACAAATTCTTATTTACAATGACGGCCTACACCGGCCAAACCCGGACGACGCTGGGCCAATTGTGCGCTGCCCTATGGGACGGTTGTGATACAGCCTGGAATCAAACCAGGGGGTCTTTAGTGACGCCTCAAGCACGGAGATGCAATGACTTAGACCGCTGCGCCACTCGGGAGCCCTATGGTTAGTGTCGCTGTGTGAAGGTCCGTCAAGCAGCACTAGACCAAATCAGTTCATTCAAGTTACATAGTATCCCCCCACCCAACCCTGATCCACATACTGTATAATAGTGTGTCATGGGGGGAGTGAACTGGATAGAGAGAGAGAGAGAGAGAGAGAGAGAGAGAGAGAGAGAGAGAGAGAGAGAGAGAGAGAGAGAGAGAGAGAGAGAGAGAGAGAGAGAGAGAGAGAGAGAGAGAGAGAGTCCATCTTACAACCCTCCGCTCTCCCAGCAGGCTCAGATATCACCACCATCACTACAATGTTACATAGCAGTAAAAATGCTTCCAGGGAAAAATGAATGGCTTCAATTCATGTGAGAATGTGGGACCAGGTGTTCATCACATTTGAGCCCCCCAGACAGACAGACAGAGAGCCTGCCCTGCCTGCCATGTCCATTTTCCTGCGGCGTCACTTACTCACCTCGGTTGCCACCGTGCTGTGGAAGGTCTCCTTGCTGAATTCCCATCCCCCTTGGCAACCCTCAGTGTCATGGCTGTCACTAAAGGCCAGGGCGGTGCTGTGATTCAGCTGGTCCAGCAGGGTGCCAGGGATCCCCCCAGGGGCAGAGCAGGACCGGCCAGGGTCACCGTCTGGGCCCGTCACCAGGCTGAAGTTGAAATTGGGAGGGTCTGAGCTGGCGGCCAAGGGCCAGGTGGAGTTGGTGGAGCGACAGAGATGAGGGGGGACAGCCCCTGTGAATACGGATATCAGCATGTGGAACGCAAGCAGGATCTGGGGGAGGCAAATCCACACATACAGGCTCTTCTGGAACTTGCCAAAACCCCCAATATGAGAAAGAATCTCGTCAAAATTCATGCTTCTTTCCATAGCTGCTATTCCAATGCAGATCTTACCCTAATGTATCACCACAGATACAAGACGTCCAACACAACTGTGCACTCTCAAGTTGCCACCAAAGATCTGAGAGTGGAACAGAAGGCTGAAGGCTGACAGGCAGCTGGCACCTTACAGAGCTCAGGATCATCTAGAAAGGCTGGTTTAATAATGAGTTGTGTCAGTCTTCTCATTCAGATGCTATCACACCTGTCTGTAGTGTAGTGAACCCTGAGTGCAGGCAGGCTGCTGCTGTCGTCTGCAGTGTTGTGAACCCGCAGCACTGCACTAGCAGGGTAATATAACCGTCCTCTGCAGGGAGGGAGGGAACTAGATCCTGGGGTGGAGTCCCAGCTCAGAAGGAGGTGTTGCTCTTTGTGATAGCTGAGTGATTGCATTCGCTCTCTCTCTCTCACTTTTGCTCCCCCCCTCTCTCTGTTTATCTGCATGGTGAGAGTCTTATGTTTTGGAAACAGTGGGAATAAGTCATATAGAAGCCCATAACACAACATACATACATAAAGTGAAGTCTAATTGCCAAATGTAACAGAGGGACTCAAATTTAAAGAGGGATGCACAATAAAAGTAAACCTAAGCACAAAGTTACCCTTAAAAAGTGTGTACATGTATTTATGCTTTACAGTACGTTTTAAACAATCAAATTCCCAACAATGATGTGGGAATATTGCTAAGGTCAGCTATAAATCCACTTGCCTGCCCCCTGAGACACTGCAGTTGCAAAACACCATCAAATGTCTTCAGTGGGGTACAGTTCTAAAGAAATGCAAATTCCCTCTGGCAGTGGTACCCAATCATTCATCTGGCATAGGGATGCCAATAGAGGAGAGCTGGCTGGGGCTAAGCACGCCAGACAAAAGCAGCAAATAAATACCATGGGAAGGGACCAAGACTTTCCCCATGACACCAATGAAAGGCCTGTACTCTGGCAACTCCATTACCCATTATCCCCGGCTCCCGTTCTTCTGTCTTATCATTTCATATTTTCCTCTGTTGTGGTGTCACGTTTGAACATGGAGAGCACTCTTTTCTCTCAGTGAGCCGCAGCCCATTGCTCTCAGCCAGGGAGGAACTCAATAATGTCTGGATGTTGAAATGACTGCCACTGACTACCATGATCATATTCCTCAGACTCACATGTGAAACTCAGCATGTGAAGTTTTCCTGTGTCTGGAGTGACAAAGACATAGAGCCTATGCATTAGATCCTGTGAATGGCAGTGTTGGAAGATCAGGAAGCCAATGAGGGACAATGTGTGTGTAAATTGTTTGTTAATTGTTTCTCCCTGATAAGGATAAAATGTGCAGTGCCATAAATTGCAAATGCTTTAATAATGATGACAACAAACAAATTAATGACAAGAAAGAAAAATACTAAATGGTCTAAAAGAAACAGCGATGTCTTTGAAATGGAAAGCTTTCAATCATTGATGAGAGTTACAAAAACAGAAAGTATCCACATACTCCCAGCTTCAGTGGAAATTACCACATTAATATTATCAGTTGATGTCATAAAGAGAGAAGTACAGTGCATTCGGAAAGTATTCAGACCCCTTCCCTTTTTCCACATTTTGTTACCTTACAGCCTTATTCTAAAATGGATAAAATTATTTTTTTCCCTCATCAATCTACACACAATACCCCATAATGAGAAAGTGAAAACAACTTGTTAGAAATTTTTGCACATTTATTAAAAATAAAAAAACAGAAATACCTTATTTACATAAGTATTGCTATGAGACTCGAAATTGAGCTCAGGTGCATCCTGCTTCCATTGATCATCCTTGAGATGTTTCTACAACTTGATTGGAGTCCACCTGTGTTAATTCAATTGATTGGACATTATTTGGAAAGGCACACACCTGTCTATATAAGGTCCCACAGTTGACAGTGCATTTCAGAGCAAAAACCATGCCATGAGGTCGAAGGTATTGTCCGTAGAGCTCCGAGACAGGATTGTGTCGAGGCACACATCTGGGGAAGGGTACCAACATTTTTTTTGCAGCATTGAAGGTCCCCAAGAACACAGTGGCCTCCATCATTCTTAAATGGAAGAAGTTTGGAATCATCAAGACTCTTCTGAGAGCTGGCCGCCCGGCCAAACTGAGCAACTGGGGGAGAAGGGCCTTGGTCAGGGAGGTGATCAATAACCCATGGGTCACTCTGACTGTGCTCCAGAGTTCCTCTGTGGAAATGGGAGAACCTTCCAGAAGGACAACCAACTCTGCAGCACTCCACCAATCAGGCCTTTATGGTACAGTGGCCAGACAGAAGCCACTCCAAAGTAAAAGGCACATGACAACCCACTTGGAGTTTGCCAAAAGGCAGCTAAATGACTCTCAGACCAAGAGAAACAAGATTCTCTGGCCTGAATGCCAAGTGTCACGTCTGGAGAAAACCTGGCACCATCCCTACGGTGAAGCATGGTGGTGATAACATCATGCTGTGGGGATGTTTTTCAGTGGCAGGGACTGGGAGACTAGTCAGGATCGAAGGAAAGATTAACAGAGCAAAGTACAGCGAGATCCTTGATGAAAACCTGCTCCAGAGCGCTCAGGATCTCAGACTGGGGCGAATGTTCACCTTCCAACAGGACAACGACCCTAAGCACACAGCCAAGACAACGCAGGAGTGGCTTCGGGACAAGTCTCTTAATGTCTCTAGCTAGTTGGTCAGGGTGTGAATAATCTATGTTTGTATTTCTATGTTTGGCCGGGTGTGGTTCCCAATCAGAGGCAGCTGTCGCTCGTTGTCTCTGATTGGGGATCATACTTAGGCAGCCAGTTTTCCTGCCTGTGTTGTGGGTTTTTGTTTGTGTTCGGTTAGTGTGGCTTGTTAGTGTTAGCCTTCCGACGTCACGTTTCGTTGTTTTTGTATTTTTATTCAGTTCAATAAACATGGATGCATTTCACGCTGCGTCTTGGTCCGTCCCGTCTATGAACGATCGTGACAGAAAACCCCACCACCAATGGACCAAGCAGCGTGCCCAGGAGGAGCAGAGAGGATGGACCTGGCGGGAGATAAGAGAGGATCTGGCAAGGCAGATGGAGGCCCTGAAAGGGATCAGGGTGGAGAGACAGCCCCAATAATGTTTTTTGGGGGAGCTAAAAGGGTGGTCGGGGAGCGACAGAGAGGAGCCTCGACCACTGCACTCGTGGGGGCTCAAGGAGGAGTCCTCACTGGAGGAGGACGGGGCGCGGAGTGTAAAGGACGGAGACTGTCTTAGACCTCCAGCGCTGGTTCCCAGTCCGGTACGCCCCGTACCTGCTCTCCGCACCAAGCCAGTGGTGCGTGTTCCCAGTCTGGCCCGGCCTGTTCCTGCTCCCGGCTCCAAGCCAGTGGTGCGTGTTCCCAGTCTGGCCCGGCCTGTTCCCCGCACCAAGCCAGTGGTGCGTGTTCCCAGTCCGGCCCGGCCTGTTCCTGCTCCTCGCACCAAGACAGTGGTGCCCGTCGCCAGTCCGGCCCGGCCTGTTCCTGCTCCTCGCACCAAGCCAGTGGTGCGCGTCGCCAGTCTGGCCCGGCCTGTTCCTGCTCCTCGCACCAAGCTAGTGGTGCGCGTCGCCAGTCCGGCCCGGTCTGTTCCTGCTCCTCGCACCAAGCCAGTGGTGCGCGTCGCCAGTCCGGCCCGGCCTGTTCCTGCTCCTCGTACCAAGCCAGTGGTGCGCGTCGCCAGTCCGGCCCGGCCTGTTCCTGCTCGTCGCACCAAGCCAGTGGGGCGCGTCGCCAGTCCGGCACGGCCCGTGCCCGTTCCACCGGTGCCTGGTTTGGCACCGGTCAGCTGCTCCACTCCGGAGCCAGAGCAGTCCGCTCCACCGGTGCCTGATCCAGCTCCGGTCAGCGGCTCGACTCCGGAGCCGGAGCCGCCACCGAGGCTGGAAGCCCACCCGGACCCTCCCCTATTCAGTCAAGTTTGTGCGGCCGGAGTCCGCACCTTTGGGGGGGGGGGGAGGGGGGGTAATGTCACGCCCTGGCCTATATAACTCTAGCTAGTTTGGTCAGGGTGTGAATAATCTATGTTTGTATTTCTATGTTTGGCCGGGTGTGGTTCCCAATCAGAGGCAGCTGTCGCTCGTTGTCTCTGATTGGGGATCATACTTAGGCAGCCAGTTTTCCTACCTGTGTTTTTGTTTGTGTTCGGTTAGTGTGGCTTGTTAGTGTTAGCCTTTTGTATGTTTATTCAGTTCAATAAACATGGATGCATTTCACGCTGCGTCTTGGTCCGTCCCGTCTATGAACGATTGTGACAGGAGGTGTGTTGAGTCATTGTCCTGTTGAAAAACAAATGATAGTCCCACTAAGCCCAAACCAGATGGAATGGCGTATCGCTGCAGAATGCTGTGGTAGCCATGCTGGTTAACCCTCCCGTTGTCCTAGGGTCAAAATGACCCGCCACTGTGTTGAACCAACTTTATTTAATTTTTACATTTTTGGGATCATTTGTGAGAAGGAGGCAGTGAGACTTTAAAGAAAGTATCACTGCCTCCTTCTCACAAATGATCCAAAAAATATAAAAATTAAATAAAGTTGGTTCAACACAGTGGCGGGTCATTTTGACCCTAGGACAACGGGAGGGTTAAGTGTGCCTTGAATTCTAAATAAATCACAGACAGTGTCAGCAGCAAAGCACCCCCACACCATAACACCTCCTATACATGCGGAGATTATCCGTTCACCCACACCGTGTCTCACAAAGACACGGAGGTTTGAACCAAAATATCTCCAATTTGGACTCCAGACCAAAGGACAAATTTCCACCGGTCTAATGTCCATTGCTCATGTTTCTTGGCCCAAGCAGGTCTCTTCTTCTTATTGGTGTCCTTTAGTAATGGTTTCTTTGCAGCAAATCGACCATGAAGGCATGATTCACACAGTCTCCTCTGAACAATTGATGTTGAGATGTGTCTGTTACTTGAACTCTGTGAAGCATTTATTTGGTCTGCAATTTCTGAGGCGGGTAACTCTAATTAACTTATCCTCTGCAGCAGAGGTAACTCTGGGTCTTCCATTCCTGTGGCGGTCCTCATGAGAGCCAGTTTCATCATAGCGCTGGATGGTTTTTGCAACTGCACTTGAAGAAACTTTAAAAGTTCTTGAAATTTTCCGGATTTACTGACCTTTATGTCTTTGCTTATTTGAGCTGTTCTTGCCATAATATGGACTTGGTC